CATTTTAATGTCGCCTGAAATATCTAAAAGAGCATTCATTAATCAGTATCAGATATGCCTTGGTACAAGAATTTGGTGTGAGGCGATTTATTAGGCAGCTAGTTCTGCATTTAAACAAATCGAGTAGATGAATATGATCCCAAAAGGAATTTTATTTATTCGTATGGAAAGCCGGAAATAGGAACTTTAAATAGTCTCCAACAATTATTACATATAGATATATTGAAGAACTTTGGAAAACTATTTTTACTTTATATGTAGGTTTTCAGGACCGACAGTAGATCTTATATAAGAGCTGCATTCACTGTATATCGTTTTAGGTAATTAAGTACTGGTAATAGAATGTTTCCACAATTATATGAGTGGGCAATATGCTTCCACTGAATTTCACATAGCCTTGCTCCATGAAGGTGTTCTCGTCCAGGCCGCAGTAGGGTTGAGTTTTGACCAACACCCCCCCCAGCACCCAAGGTGGGACTTGAACTTGGGTAGTGCAGTGTAGAAACTCGACATGTTAGTCACTATGCCTCACTACCACGAGTGCCGGTGAATTACAGGGCATGTGTCTAGACTAAATGCTGCCCTACTCGGGTTAAAGTCCTGCTGGGAGTGCTGATCAGACCTAGGAGGGGTCGAAATCGAAGTCCCATTCTGCCTGATTTATAATACCTTTTGAAAATCAAAGATATGTAAAACTTAACGGAAATATATGGCTTAATAATATTAATATATGGAAATTAACCTACCATTCCCTCATCCTCTTAAACGAACTAAGGTGATGCAGTACTTATATTTGGAAAATTAATTAAAATATGAATAAATTATAAAAAATCTGCTCAAATAAATTTTCAAGGATAGCTTGATACCGTAAAGACGTAAGCTCTTGCGTCAGAACTCTGCATGCGCTGACACGCATACGAAAAGATCCGTATTTACACAATTAGTTTCCCATAAATGCTACTTACTAAATCAAGGGTAGTATGGCGAAATAGAAATATATTCTAAGATTACTCTAGTATAAAAACGTTAGAATTTCATGCCATTATTTTGATAGATAAATGAATTTGAAACGACCAAACTCTAAATATCTGCGAGTACTGGGAAATGTTTTTATTAGATTATAACAAATTACCGAAAAAATTAGAATGTGTTTCGGATTTTAAATTTATAGAAAAATCAAAATCCATTAAAAAGGTTA